AGTCATAGTAAGTCCTGTCTTCAAAACAAGTACGAAACACAAACCTAAGAATTACCACCTCCTTAGACTAACTAGTACGGTTGTTAAAATATTAGAAAAGATTATTAGGGAAGAGCTGTTTAAATATCATGATGAAAACCGAATCCTTTCAGAGAAGCAGCATGGTTTCAGAATAGGTTACTCTTGTCTCACAAACTTATTAGTGGCTCGCGAAAGCTGGTGCGCTCTTAAGGATCAAAAGCTACCTGTAGACGTCGCCTTCATTGATTTCAGTAAAGCTTTTGACAAAGTTCTGCACAACCGGCTGTTATATAAGTTAAGAAATGTCGGTATTGGAGGCAATTTATTGATGTGGATAAAAGACTTCTCAGTTGGGCGTCAAGAAAGAGTAATGGTGGACTCAAAGTTATCTAGCTGGGAAACTGTGCTTAGTGGAGTGCCTCAGGGTACAGTTTTGGGGCCAGTGCTATTCCTCTTGTATGTAAATAACCTTCCTCGTCTCCTATCATCATCGGTCTTGCTATATGCAGACGATGTCAAGATATGGAAAACGATGAGATGTAAGAGTGATAGCTTAGAAATCCAAAATGATCTGAAGAAGTTATTTGAATGGTTTCAAAGATGGCAGTTGCCGTTAAATACTTCCAAGTTTGTTGTGATGCATACCGATCATCAAGGTACAGATACATACACGATGAGTAACACTGAGCTACCTCTCGTCCAGACATATAATGACTTAGGAGTCATCGTTAGTCAAGACCTAAAGACTACTCCACACTGCCGTGCAATAACCGCCAAAAGTCTTAGATCATTATGGTCAATACGTAGGGCTTTTAGTCATGTCGATGCTAAGACGTTTTTGACTTTGTATACAGTTTTCGTTCGTCCTAAATGTGAGTACTGAATACAAGCGGCTAGCACCTGCTTAAAAAAAGACAGTGAGCTTCTGGAAATGGTTCAGAGAACTGCAACTAAGCTTATTTCCAGAATAGCGAAGCTTCCGTATGATGCTCGACTGGCCAGGCTGAACATTTTGCCGTTGTAATATCGCAGAACTAGATGCGAATTGATTACAGTTTTCAAATTGTTAAGTACCAAATTTGCACCTGATACGCCCTCATTTTTCTTGTCTTCCAAAACAGAGAATTTGCGAGGACACTCAATAAAAGTTCAAAAGCCCATAACTTATCAGCTGACTATCGGCTTTCCCACCGAATCATCAACGAGTGTAACTCATTACCTCAGCATGTTGTTGAGGCTCCATCCGTCGATTCTTTCAAAAGAATGTCGGATCAACTGAGGGACCACCATTGCCAGGACTAACACAGGCCTCCTGTCCTGTCGCTCAACTCCCTAGAGATTGGAAGGACGCTATAGTTAGTCCTATATTTAAGGACGGTCAGCGACAGATAGCATCTAAGTACCGGCCTGTTAGTCTAACTAGCATAGTCGTTAGGTTACTCGAAAAGATAATTCGGGTTAGGTTGCCAAGCCACATAGATTTACACAATCTGTTAGCTCCTGAGCAACACGGATTTCGTAACAAGCGTTCATGCTTGACTAACTTGCATATTGCGAGGGAGGATTGGACAGCAGTTCTAGATAACGTGATATTCATAGATTTTAGCAAATCGTTTGACAAGGTTTCACACTCTGGTCTTATGCAGAAGCTCACGAGCTTCGGAATAATAGGTACTATATGGGAGTGGATAGGAAATTTCTTATGTGACCGCAGACAGAGAGTTAGAGTCAACGGAACGCTATCCGATTGGAAGCCGGTCAAAAGTGGTGTACCCCAAGGCACCATCTTAGGCCCTCTGCTCTTCCTTCTCTACGTTAATGATTTACCGCTGTTACTTAGGTCGTCGACATTATTGTTTGCGGATGATGTAAAAATCTGGAGAACAATAAAAAGTGCTGCTGATCATGTGGATCTTCAAGCTGACTTAGACGATTTAGTTAGATGAGCTCGAGAGTGGGGCTTAGAAATCAATGCTAGGAAGAGTGTACTAATGCACATCGGTCACGGTAATAGTTACCGTTACACTATTGAGGGTAAAGCTCTTCCGTGCGTTCAAGAGCATAAAGACTTAGGAGTAATATTAAGTTACATACGTTACACTATATCTCCATGTCTTCTAAATTTAGAAATCATCTGGATCGCCTCTAACATTTATTAATAAACCCATCATAGTCGTTGTTGGTAATCGTATTTGGATTTATGGATTGGTTTATCATATTAGCAGTCTAAAGTGCAAACATAATTTAGATAATAAGATTAAAAATTTAGGTACTATCAACTGCACTAGTAAAATTACTAAATCCTCAGGTAGTTGTTGGTTAAACAAGCTTTTAAAATCAAAACTCCGTAGCCTACTAGAATTAACATTAAACAAATATTTCTGAATTGAAATTTGTAATTAAATTAGGCGTCTCGGATTCTTTAACGTTATAAATTTCTGATAATTTTGAATCACCTAAAACAACAATGCCTATTTTTCCACTGGCCAATCTTCAATCAACACTATAAGTAATTAAACATAGTAGTTTCAGGATATCTTCATAAAGCATTGTCATGACTTGACAATCACGTAATATGATTGATAAAATTAATGAAACTATTAACAAAATCGGTCAGCAAATTGACTTATAATTATCACTAGTGTTGTTTTTCTTCATTCACTACTGATGATTACAGTATGTTTCTCTATCAGTTGCTCATTCAGTAAATATCTCAAAACTTTGTCAGTCTAATTGATGGTTTAGCGACACAATCATGCATGCAAATAATCAGTATAAGCAGTCGAGCAAATATCCTGCAAACTGAAAACATCAATGTCGAATTTACCCCAACACTGACTAAGGTTCAAGCTATTATCATAGGCATGAGTTGGGAGTGCACTCCCCTTGGTTACAACTTATGTTCTCCCTGATAATCACAAGAGCATCACTCACTATTAATCATCTTGTAAAAAATTATTTAGACAAATACACCTTGCAGCACCACATCACTTAGTAATATGACACATAGGTTTAACTAATTTCAATAACGTATGACCACTATATCTCAATTAAATCGTGTTCCGCCTTATGATAAACTGCATACTTTTAACTAACTTGTATACCCAATCAGCCGGCAAGTATAGATATAAATAAATAGTCTGCCGCAGATCAGAACATTGAGTCTAGAGCTTGTCTCTTAAGAATACACTCATGTTTAACGATTTGTTCCTAGCTATCTGTCCAAAATTCACATAATTACCACTCACGTATTTAAATTTTGTTTCGATAACCATTCATGTGTATTAGTAGTATTAATAAATTCTATCACGGTCAAGTAAAAATGAGGTTGAGAAAATCTCCCCGTAACTAAACAAACCGTATCAAACTAACTGGAACACTAGTTGGAATTCTTCTCCACGGTAATACTTTTGTTCCTTCAGTTAGCCTACTAATACAGATGCAATTGGAAATCGATCATATGGACAACTTACCGGCATAATCGTTATTTGATTTCATAAGTTAGACTAAAAGTAGTACTAATATTAACATTTCTACAATATTTATAACTTTAATATTTCTAAACACAAAATACTTACTACCTATACGTTAAGTTATTAACCAACGACTATTAACACGCATCGTTTTATTATTATTATTATTATTATTATTGTAATCCCATTTTTTTATTGCTCAAATAATCACTCAAATTTTTATTGTAAGCATGAAGGCAGATATTTTAAAATTATTACATGTATTTCCCGACCAGATGCTGCCGTCTTCTTTTTGATTTATCTTTCAGCTTGTCATCACCCGGAGGATTATTACTAGTCTTGGTAACCTTCGGGACACTACAGTCCCATCCAATTTGGTATCGAACCAACACCACGTTGATTCTGGTGGGAGAGTAGTGTAGTGGCATTGGACCATAGCCACACTATCCTCAAAGCTGAATACGAGATTACTCGGAAAATAGGTATTCAATATTTAACGCGAAGAAATACCTAACGATGGAGAAGGCGCGAATAATGAGTTGAATAAATTAGAGTTGATCGAACGGCATGGCTCGGCCATGCAGGCGTGGTCTCTGCTGAATGTTACCTTATATCTTCTTTTCATATTAAATATATTGTTCTTTCTCTAGCCTAACCTTGTTCTACATCATGTATTGGTAATTGATACGATACAGTGAGTTGGTGTAGTTGATGGTGTGACTTCCACGTAAGATCTTATAGATTAGGCAGTCATATCATGACAAATCCACAGATTTAGGATTAGGTCTATTATTAGAGCAGTACTAATATCATAGTAGATCATAAATTCTACAAAGTCATGATTTAAAAACAACTAAGCATTGCAAAGCAGCCGCTGTCAAAGGTTTTCGTGCGTTATGGTCACTTCGCCGAGCGTTCAAATCTTTTGACGAGGAAACGTTTCGAATTTTAGATCCCATATATGTTAGACCGCATTTACAGTACTGTATCCAGGCAGCTAGCCCGTGTCTGGTAAAGGATACTAACTCCCTTGAGCGTGTCCAGCGTGTGGCAACAAAATTAGTGAAGGGTTTTTCTAAACTCCCTTACGGTGATTTTTTTTCTTTCCCTTACGGTAAGCGTTTAAAAAGTCTGAACCTTTTCCCCTTGTCGTATCGTAGGACACGAGGTGACCTTATACTGGCATTTCGTATCTTTAATTATGATTTGGGTGTTAATATGTCTTATCTTTTTGCTCCCTCTGATCTCCGAGGTCATAGCAAGAAGGTTCATAAACCGAGATCTAATAAACTTAAAGTGGGGTCTCGTTTTTCTCATCGAGTAGTCAATGATTGGAACGCCTTACCCGAACAAGTGGTATCAGCCCCATCAGTGAATATTTTCATAGAAAAACTAGACCTTCACTTGAAGGCAATCTGTCAGGATTAATACAGGTTCACTAACCTACTATCCTTATTACTGAAGACTAACACAGGCCTCCTGTCCTTCTCAAACTGAATGTCTAATGTAGAAGTTGGCGCGCCTTGTGGAGTTTGCGTTGCGACAAGTTATTGAAGGTCGAGAATGGATGGAATGAGGGTTCATTGCAGTCGGTCAAATACATCAACTTAAACGTATTACTTTGTGCTTTTTGATAGTGATCACATATAAATTCCAGGGGCACTGGTGACGGCGCAGGACAGAATCATACACTTCGCATTTAAATACGGACAATTGTCTCAACCTTGTACAAGCCATTTTTTAATTTGTGCATCACTCAATCGCTTTTCATGCATCATTGGTCTATTGAAATTGAAAAGACGGGTATAGACTACAGATTTTTGACCATAAGTTTCCTCAAAACAAAATTGTATACCTAGACCTATATTTTTGGGTCTTTTATTTTAGAATGCTTTATCGGATATCTAATATTGTGTTAAACTGATTTTTTTTCAAATTATTGTGTGACCGAATGCAAATAAAAGCTATGAGAACCAAATCACATACTTGTAGCAACAAATAGAAGTACCATTGAAGTTCCCAGCGAAAATGAGTAGTCCGGGATACATCTACAGATAGAACGACCGACTTCAATACCATTCAATTTTCTAACACCGGTCACAATTTACTGGTCTAAATGTAGTGATCCTCTTCAGTAAGTGGTTGCTCGATTCGGAGCATCTCAACACATGTTTTGCTCACTTAGTTGCCCTTATGTCTAGACAACCAGTGCTTCACGATACATTCTAAAAAATGAAACGGAACATTTTCGGATAGAAAAATATAAAAGGCAACTGGTTAAATGATTAGTACTTCCTTGTAATCCATAGACAGTGATTAGTCTCCCTCAAAGTCTAGTATTTTTAAGCATAATTGACACAATTGCTCTTAGTGTGGTGCATGCTACTTATCCTGACAGATATAAGTAGCATGCAGCACCAATTGTTAGTGGAATGTTTGGCAGCGGAAGACTGAATTGAAGAAAACAGGAGTGGAGACAGCAGTTATAATAGCAACGAAATTAAAAGGATCATAAAGTATGTGAGGGACAACTAAAGAAAGATGTGCAAAGAATGTATTTAATGTACGGTTTTTATATTTTACGAAGGCACTCTGTAATTTTGCATTAAACAATAGATTGGTTATCCCCACTCCCTGTTCACTACAGTAGCTATAATAATTGTGATAAAATGTAATACTTTACAAATTGCAATGGATTTTTAGAATAATGAATAATCCAAGTGAAGGAAAGGACTCTAGTCTTGTACAATGCATTTTAAAAGAGTTGGCCGAAGAACTCTCACCATATGGTTTCGATATATCCCCATTTTTATCTGGTTGGTATGATGCCAATACCAGTTCAAAGGTCCGACTTGGGTCTGATCTAACACCTTATGAAGACTGTTTATGCATTTGTTTGCTAAGCAATCCACAAATGTTTGAAAAGACATTTATACCAACTGTTTTTGATTGGTGTAAGGAATCAGGAATAGAATCACTGGATAATGTTTTGAAATGTTTGAAAACTCGGTTTTGTGGATCTAGATTTCTTCCCGGCTCTGATGATCCCTTCGATTGGACTGTTTTTATTCGATTACAAAAGGCACTAAGTAGTTCTGTTCAAAAATTAAAACTTAATCTAACTCCTGACGAGTCGACAAAGTTAAATAATGCGGAATGGATACCAGATTATGCTATCAGACCAGTTACTCGACTTCCCTATGTTCATGTGCAAACAGCTGGTCACGTATCAGGAATGGCTTATTTTCATCAACCTAGTGATTCAATAAAGAAAAAATGCAGTTCCTATAGTGGAGTCAGTTTGCATCCATATTACGGCGGTTGGTTCGGGTTTAGGTAAGTAGTCTATTTATTTAAATAAAACAGTGTAGATACAATTTAGCTTTCTTTACTAATGTCATTTGTTCTAGAATCCTAATTTTTATTGTCTTGTGAATTTAGCCTCTATTTCCACACGACAAAACAAGGTATAGGTATCCCCGTCAATTCTACTCTATTGTATTAATTTACCAATCAGACCACATTGTTTTGTAGAGACAAAAATCAGTAAATTTCAAATTGATTCATATGCATTTAAGAATGTGGTAAAACCAGTCGATTGATGCTATGAGACTTACATTTTTTTCTTATTTCCGCGTCATTAATACTTACTAGTGTACAGTTGTGAGTTTAGATATCTATCCATGTTTATTATTTTTATTAGTTAATGAAGTCATTTGCACATTGAATAAAGAATTCATTGTTTTAAAAAAATGTTAACATTGCTTAGCGAACCAAACATATGCAAAGCCCACTGTCCCAATAAGTGTATCAAGGGTTTAAACCATGCTATCCCAGTTTAGATAATATTTATGATCTTTCATACCGGTTTGTTTCATAGCCTAGTACGCATATCTACACGTAATGTTTTCATGTTAAGTCGATAAACTTAGGGCTGTACATTGTTTAATATATTATGATCTATTAAGAGTGCAAGTCTTTCGAAAACTGAAATTATAAATACATAATGCTCTTTTCTTTCTCAGAGGTATTTATATCTTCCCCAACTTACGATATCCAACTTTACCAAGACAAAATCCATTATCTCCTATCTATTTCGAGAATGAACAATTGCCGGACGAATTATTAGAACATGTATTGCATGCATATAATTGTTGTTGGAATGAAAATAAATGGAGAGATTATAAGTTACCAGATACAATTGATCACCGTTATTCATTAAATGCTTTAGCTTATTTTTCAACGTCACCATCAGAACGCGTACAATTTGTTCGAAATTTGTTTGCACGTTATAAAAACACTGATCAATAACAATAACCAATTCCATACACAATTCGACTACCTTAATTGTAATTCAAATGAAAGACATTACTTTTTAGACAATATCGAAAGAGTCGACACTAATGAAGTTTGGTGAAGTGTTTCCAAATAAATTAATCTGAATGCAAGTCTTGCTTTGTTCAAATGAGTAAATTCATAGAGTTTGGTTTGGTTGGGTTGAGATAGTTGTTTTTATCTTTATGTTTTCATCGAATTCTTATGCACTAAACTTTATTTTGCCTTGGTTTAATAGCAAAATAATAAGTATTCTCCTACATTTTCCACTGTAGACTTTCACAAACATTTTAGTTGATTGCATTTATGATTTTTTTATATTTTCGCTGACTTTTTCCGTTAACTTGACTTCGCTTTGATTTATTAATAACAATGGTAATAAGTAAATATTCTTTTACATATTTCAGTGTATAGTTCATTCTGTCCAGAAAATTGTCAATGAAACATTTAGTCGTTAGCAACGTAGAACCTGGTAGATATTTATATTGGTTCATTTTGACACACCATAGTGAAATGAAATTATAAAGACATCCTAGAGAGGTGGAAGTTTTAAAAGTATATGTGGTAGTAAAAAATGTAGGTATAGACAATATGACTCGAGAATAAAGGATGAATTCCTGAGATAAAAGGTAGAATATAGTTAAAAAGCTCGATCTAAAGAGAAACAACGAATGAATGCAACTGCGCCATTGAAATAAATAAACTTTATGAGGGCTCCTTTCTCGAACACTACTAGTCGAGTCAGAGCATATGACGAACTGTCATCTGATTTTGCAACCCCATGTGGCGTGTGGCCAGGCTGTTCACTATCTCCATTTTTGTTCAACTTCATCATATACCTACTGATGCAAATAACGTTCTCGTCGACTGAATTTTCAGCAATTGATCTCTTCCCACGAGGTCCACTTATCGACTCAGAATACGCAGATGGCATAGTCCTGTTTGGTGAAAACGCTGATAAAATGCAGAGTCTTTCGGTAGCACTGAGCAACAATGCCAGGATGTTTGGGGTGTGTTTCTCCCCCTCTAAATGCAAGTTGTTGCTTCAGGACCAGCCTGTGTCAACACCTGAACTATAGATAGGAAGTGAAGTAGTCAAACGTGTCGACAACTCCACTTATCTTGGAAGTCTGATCAGCCCTAATGCGTTGGTATCTGACGAAATCTCTACACAGATTCAAAAAGCTCATTTAGGTTTTTCCAACGTACGTCACCTATGGAGAAGGTGAAATATCCGTCTATCAATTAAGAGACAAGTATACTGCGCAGCAGTTAGTTCTGTCCTACTTTACGGCTGTGAAACGTGGCCATTAAGAGTAGAAGATACTCGTAAGCCACTAGCATCTGATCACAGATGTTGATATCCGGATTTTAAAAAATTTTCCGCGTCTATCCTCCCCCGCGAAATAATGTTGGGTCTTCATAAACCCAAATTACAATTAATTTGATTGTATTTAAAACATATTGGACAGGGAATTTAGTAAAATCGACCAGATAGTGAGGATAAACACCATTCAATTCGAAATCATCAGAGTTTAAATCTTCTGAGATATTGTTATCAAATTTATGGGAAGCATCACTAGTAAATAATGGATCATTGATAATCCTCGTCCAACAAAACCGTACCAGGCTCTTGATTATTATTCGATGCGTGGGACACATTTTCTGGCAAAACAATGGGATCTTGTGAGCTGGATTCCTCACTGTTTGTACATGTTCCGGGCACAGTGTGATTTGAACCGACGACAGGGAATGTTTCTGAATTGGACAACTGGGCGGATCATGAATGACTGTCTCGTTTACATCACTGGTCGTCCGAGATTCACAGAGGCTTTTATAGACAGCTTCATATATTCTGCAGTTTTCCAGCTCAGTCTGCAGATGAGAAATAAACTTACCAACTTCTGTTGCATCTCCGAAACATAGGAGATTTATCAACCGTGTGCGTAAATTTTCTAAAAAATTTAACTGGCTATTTTTGAAACACTGCTGTTGTTGCTAAAGTAGAAGCTGTAATTGATCGGAAAAGGTAGTCATTTTTTCAGCACCAGCAATGAAAATTAACTGTAGGAATAATGACAAATGTTGCTCAGGGACGCTGATGATAAATCTGGCCTCTGATTGGTCGAAACAATTAGCCTGAATCTCGTCCACAAGTCACAACCTCTGAGATATGAATCGTTATATTTCAAACATACTCTGTTTATATACCAACCAAACAGACCACATAGTACCATAAAAATAGAAAACATCTGTACAATATTTAACGAGTGAAATAAATAATGGCCAATAGGAAATGTCCATTTAAAGTCCAAGGACATCATTAGACTTAATCATGATAATGATCGGTATATTCCTCTGCATCCATAACATAGAGAATGATGGTAAATCATTCGATGGGGTTGTAAATCTTCATCGATTGAGATGATTGAGTCACGTGTTACGCATGCCCGAACGCGGATTATCATAATGATCCATTATTTACTAGTGATGCTTCCCATAAATTTGATAACAATATCTCAGAAGATTTAAACTCTGATGATTTCGAATTGAATGGTGTTTATCCTCACTATCTGGTCGATTTTACTAAATTCCCTGTCCAATATGTTTTAAATACAATCAAATTAATTGTAATTTGGGTTTATGAAGACCCAACATTATTTCGCGGGGGAGGATAGACGCGGAAAATTTTTTAAAATCCGGATATCAACATCTGTGATCAGATGCTAGTGGCTTACGAGTATCTTCTACTCTTAATGGCCACGTTTCACAGCCGTAAAGTAGGACAGAACTAACTGCTGCGCAGTATACTTGTCTCTTAATTGATAGACGGATATTTCACCTTCTCCATAGGTGACGTACGTTGGAAAAACCTAAATGAGCTTTTTGAATCTGTGTAGAGATTTCGTCAGATACCAACGCATTAGGGCTGATCAGACTTCCAAGATAAGTGGAGTTGTCGACACGTTTGACTACTTCACTTCCTATCTATAGTTCAGGTGTTGACACAGGCTGGTCCTGAAGCAACAACTTGCATTTAGAGGGGGAGAAACACACCCCAAACATCCTGGCATTGTTGCTCAGTGCTACCGAAAGACTCTGCATTTTATCAGCGTTTTCACCAAACAGGACTATGCCATCTGCGTATTCTGAGTCGATAAGTGGACCTCGTGGGAAGAGATCAATTGCTGAAAATTCAGTCGACGAGAACGTTATTTGCATCAGTAGGTATATGATGAAGTTGAACAAAAATGGAGATAGTGAACAGCCTGGCCACACGCCACATGCGGTTGGTCTACTTCATTCGCATCACGGATTTAAGCCCAGATCAGTCATGTAGAAGCACCCTGCTTTTAGAGAGAAGCACATCTCAAATGTGTTTGTATTTTGTCAGGGACTTCGAAAAACGGATCAATGTTAAATGGATATACTGTGTGGCCTAAATGAAGTGAAACGAAATTCGAAATCGCGAACGAATGACTAAAGTAGAACGGTTTTGATTAATAATTTATCAGGTTAGCTTTATCCCTATGGGATTTGGCACGAGATACTGCAGATCTAAGGAACCAAACCTCACCACACCATAATGAGATATCAACATGATGCACGGGATAAAAAGCATCCGCAATCGGAACTGACAAACAGTTGATGACCTCATAGTCTGTTATCATATATAAAATTGTCCACCCACAGCCTTTTTTCCGACATAACTCTGCATCAACCGTTATTGCACATAACGCTACACAGTGAATACGCGTCAGTAACGCATTTCCAATTCATTTTGGTTGGTAAGTGTTAATATTCTCGAGCCAAACCAAACTAGTCGTTCATAATAATCTTAAACAGCAGTACATTAAGCTGAATTGGTTTAATCGTCGTTCAATACCCTAGTTAGAAATAAAACAAACTACCACCGTATTTCCAGATTGATAAATTCACCTTGATCCACTGAGGGTATCTTTACTAAAGTCTTCGATGTACAATATTCGACCACTTAATCTCTGAGTAACTGTGTCACTTATATTTGACCCTAAAATAAACCAATATTTGTTTTGTGCATTCTGAACGGTTAAGTGAAATCAGTTCGTTTCAGTCACATTTAAATAGTATTGGCTTTCACAAACTGGTTAAGGTCTTGATTAAATTCAATCTTTTGTCAGTCTGTTTCTAAGAATATGCCTGGATAAAGCTTAATATGAAAGATTTCTATGTATCAATAATTTTGGATTCCCTTGAGAACTTTGAGAGTATTTAAAAAAACCTCTTATTGCTATAAATTCACACTATAAAATTTTTTTACATAGTCTGGAATAAGATCGTGGTAATATAGAAAGCCATAAGTTCAAAAGGCACAAAAAATAATAGAAATATATATATATATCGTAAACGAATCACGCTAGAGTTCTGGCTTCATAGGTGTGGAAACAAACTCCAGGGAAAGACGGGTTAATGCAGCCCTGAATTTTCCACCGACATGTGATACTATACAGAATTATGTATAAACAGGACCTACCAAAACATCCATTTTTGTTAAAATAGTATTCCTCAGCTGCCAGTGGTTGATTACCGTTACCCTTGAGAATAGTACTTTATTCCGGGTAACTTACAAATGCAGAAGCAGTCAAAGCTTCAACAGGCGGCGTTACATCTAACTTGAAGCTTTGAAAGAATATGTAACTTGTTTGGCTACCAGAACGTTCCACAACACAACCATAGCTGTTATCATCTCGAATCTTCGAAAGAATCATATGCCATTTCTACGAAAAATATCAAGAGGACCGAAATTACCTCGTTCGTTCCACCTTGACATTCATAAGTGAAAGTACATTTTATTCCATCCTGTTGTCAAATGTATTGTTTCTTTGTATATGTGAATACCATACCCTTTCAATTGTCGATGAGTACTTTTTACCACCTGGTTGGACAGAAAATTCCTTTTTTATAGACGAGCCGTCTCCAAACGTGCTATCCAAATAGACTGCAATGAAAACTAAAAGTGTCAACATGTCGAATAATTCATAAATGTGATCATTCATGTGTACTCAGTAAAACATTTAAAGGTCAATTCAATAGTGAAAACACAATCTTCAGTCTTCAGTAATAAGGATAGTAGGTTAGTGAACCTGTATTAATCCTGACAGATTGCCTTCAAGTGAAGGTCTAGTTTTTCTATGAAAATATTCACTGATGGGGCTGATACCACTTGTTCGGGTAAGGCGTTCCAATCATTGACTACTCGATGAGAAAAACGAGACCCCACTTTAAGTTTATTAGATCTCGGTTTATGAACCTTCTTGCTATGACCTCGGAGATCAGAGGGAGCAAAAAGATAAGACATATTAACACCCAAATCATAATTAAAGATACGAAATGCCAGTATAAGGTCACCTCGTGTCCTACGATACGACAAGGGGAAAAGGTTCAGACTTTTTAAACGCTTACCGTAAGGGAAAGAAAAAAAATCACCGTAAGGGAGTTTAGAAAAACCCTTCACTAATTTTGTTCACACACGCTGGACACGCTCAAGGGAGTTAGTATCCTTTACCAGACACGGGCTAGCTGCCTGGATACAGTACTGTAAATGTGGTCTAACATATATGGGATCTAAAATTCGAAACGTTTCCTCGTCAAAAGATTTGAACGCTCGGCGAAGTGACCATAACGCACGAAAACCTTTGACAGCGGCTGCTTTGCAATGCTTAGTTGTTTTTAAATCATGACTTAATATTACTCCTAAGTCTTTATGCTCTTGAACGCACGGAAGAGCTTTACCCTCAATAGTGTAACGGTAACTATTACCGTGACCGATGTGCATTAGTACACTCTTCCTAGCATTGATTTCTAAGCCCCACTCTCGAGCTCATCTAACTAAATCGTCTAAGTCAGCTTGAAGATCCACATGATCAGCAGCACTTTTTATTGTTCTCCAGATTTTTACATCATCCGCAAACAATAATGTCGACGACCTAAGTAACAGCGGTAAATCATTAACGTAGAGAAGGAAGAGCAGAGGGCCTAAGATGGTGCCTTGGGGTACACCACTTTTGACCGGCTTCCAATCGGATAGCGTTCCGTTGACTCTAACTCTCTGTCTGCGGTCACATAAGAAATTTCCTATCCACTCCCATATAGTACCTATTATTCCGAAGCTCGTGAGCTTCTGCATAAGACCAGAGTGTGAAACCTTGTCAAACGATTTGCTAAAATCTATGAATATCACGTTATCTAGAACTGCTGTCCAATCCTCCCTCGCAATATGCAAGTTAGTCAAGCATGAACGCTTGTTACGAAATCCGTGTTGCTCAGGAGCTAACAGATTGTGTAAATCTATGTGGCTTGGCAACCTAACCCGAATTATCTTTTCGAGTAACCTAACGACTATGCTAGTTAGACTAACAGGCCGGTACTTAGATGCTATCTGTCGCTGACCGTCCTTAAATATAGGACTAACTATAGCGTCCTTCCAATCTCTAGGGAGTTGAGCGACTGAAAGGGACATGTGGAAGAGTGTCCCGAGCGGTTTTGAAATAATGTCCGCAAGAGATGACTGCAGCCGTGGATGTAACCGATCAGGGCCCGGTATCTTACGATGTTTGAGGTTGGTTATCAACGGAAGGACAGTTTCCTCAGTCACCTGTTCAGATTCAACGGTTGGTATCTCGGTGTGAGTGGGACAAGTGTTTGTTACAATAAACGTAGAGAAGACTTCGCTTACATAGTTTGAAATTGTCTCAGCTTTTGCCCGATCTGATTCAGCTAGTAAATCTGAATTTTCGTGTAACAGTAACGGGGGAATACCATCACTACGTTTAACATATGAAAACAATCGTTTCGGACAAGTACGACTATCATATACTAACTGTCATTCGTAAGTAGTACGGGATTTAGCTATGGTTTTCTTACAAATATTCCGGAGTTTTGGTACTCACGCTTAAATAGTGCATGACTTGTCAACAAGAATAAGTCCCAGAAGTGTTTTCTACGCTTTAACTGCTTTCGGGTTTCCTTATTAATCTATGGAGGGTAATGTGATAGCTTACGTGCTGACCATGGGATAAACGGCGACGTTACGGACTCGAATTTCGCCTTAAACTTATTCCATTCATCTTTGAACGATCCATCCGCGTCGACCGACCAATCAGTCGAGATAGCACAGTTTCTGATTGCCAGAATATTAGCTCGCCTGATATTGGGACGGGGTGGAGCAGATACGAACTTGTATACCATGTGTCCTAAACGTAAAGTGAATTACAACGTGATCACTGTTAACTAGTGGAGGAAGGTGCTGAATATCAAAGACATCCTCATAGTGGTGGGTGAGGGCGAGGTCCAGCAGTGACGGATCATGTTGCAAATCAATATGTGTCGGTTTTGTGATACATTGTACAAGTGCACACTGAATAACCGTAGATTAAAGGCCGCTATCGAAACCACTATTATTATTATTATTATTATAATTGTACTGTAACTCTATCCAGTTGATATGCGGTGCGTTGAAGTCCCCAATGATGAGACAACATTCTGCCATACTCCAAGAACACATGTGTTTTAAGATAAAGTCGTCAGCAAGACAAAATGGACTACGGTATATTCCCCCTATAGTCACTAACCCATTTCTAGATTTAATCTTACAACATACAACCTCACATGTGCCACTGATATGGGCCTCCGATATGGTTGATTGTATACGAAAGTGATCCCTAACGTATAATATTATACCTCCTCCCTTGCGACTTGAAACTCTATCACTTCTAATACAGATATAACCTGCAATGAAAGGAGAACAGTCTATATCTGCTATGAACCAAGTTTCTATAACGACGATTATGTCGAGACATAATTCTTCCACCATCAGAATTAGCTCGGACGTTTTATTTCTAAGACTACGAGCGTTCGTGTAGCACACACTTAAGGTGTTTTGGCAATCAATCGTTCTACCCATACAGGCCTCGGAAGCATTGGCTTCCAAGACCTGACTACCAGAAAACCCTTATGGTAAGGTTATTTTCGCCATTTAATTTGCGAGTTCTCAACTCCGTAAGAGCATTCTTCCACTTGATTCGATCCTCAAGCTGTCAATCTGGTCGAATACGGATATTTGAGTCACGAGTTCTTGGTGCGTTTTTCAATAATATATCTCCTTCTTCAAAAGTCCCGAGCACCAGCTTCAGGATTCTTCTTGGTTGGGTCTCGCCTCCAACCCATTTACCAAGTCATATTACTTTTGTAATATGTACCCCTGAAACTTCTTCAGGTGGACGAGGCGGAGGATGCCTTATTTACGCTCACTCTAGCCTAAACTCACTACTATGTGATATGCCTGAACTAAACAAACTGAAGGATTCGGTGTGGATTGTATTAAAGCTGTCGAATTCCGTTACCTTACTGCTCGGCTGTGTTTATCGTCAACCTAACGCATCAATAGATGATATAGCAGTATTATCGGAGGTATTCACACTAGCATCATCCCTCTCATTCACAGGCAAGCTCATTTGTGGTGACTTCAATATGCCCGAAATTTCTTGGCTGCCAGTCAAAGCGCCGAGACGTTATGAATCATTTATTGAATGTCTAGAGCTCGGACAATGGACTCAGTATGTCGATAGCCCTACCAGACATCAAAACATCTTGGACTTAGTCTTTATCAGTGGCCTCATCCCCAATACTTTGTATATTGGAAAAGAGTTCCCAGGTAGTGATCATAACATTGTCATATGCAGCCTTAATGTAAAAACCACAACCAATAGAAGCAAAACCGTAACACTTCATAGAAACTATCGAAAGGTTGATTGGAATAACTTCCACTGATTGGGGAACTTTCTTTACCTCAAACAATACCGACACATTAACCAATATATTTTATCACAACATCAAAAGTATCATCAACAACATCGCACCTTTAGAATACTGTAAACCTGCGTTCTCCAAAGATCTCTATATACCGGTCAGTACAAGAAGACGTCTTCAAAGACATTGTACTCAATTCCACAACTTAAATGACTTTTCCTCTTTAGTAACGATGACAGAAATACTTGTCCGAACAGAGGCAATAAGTAAACAAAAAGCAGTAGCACAGGAAAAACGTGCAGTTGAACTTAATGATAACTCCTCTGCACTCACCATACTACTCCAAAATAAACTTAAACGCTCTAAATCGAGAGGGAGTATATTCATTAAAGGCAAACAAGTATACGAAGATCCTAAACTTGTCACAGAATTATTTAGTGAACATTTTTGTTTCTCACTAACTAACGAAAAACCATTTAATGATTCAGAACCAATCCCAGTAACTCCCTGTGAAATTACTAATGTAGAATTCAGTGTACAAAATATCTCCAAGGCAATCAGTACATTGAAACGCTCATACACAGATGGACCAGATGGTATTCCATCTAGCATGCTAAAACGTGGAGGTGATGATATGTGTGTTTTGCTTCTCAAACTATTCGCGATATCACTCTCTTCAGCGTGTTACCCCCCTGCCTGGAAAACTACACATATCATTCCCAAAATTAAAACAGGACCTGAAGCAAACGTTGAAAATTACCGGCCTATAAACATAACTTCAGTGGTATCCAGAGTGATGGAAAAAGTAGTTAAGGCGGCTGTAGTCCAACATCTAATAACTAATAATCTCATCTCGACCTCCCAGCATGGATTTCTTAGGTCCAGATCATGCGATACATGCCTAGTAGACTACCTGAATGATATAACTATGAAACGAGACAGCGGACTACTTGTATCAGTTCTATTCCTAGACTTTAAGAAAGCCTTTGATAAGGTCCCACACAAAAGGCTACTCGTCAAACTAAAGTCCTTCGGAATACACAACCCACTGTACTCATGGTTTGCTTCGTTCTTAACAGAACGTAAACAGATGGTAAAGTACAATGACTGTCTCTCGTCCCCTAGGCCAATCACCAGTGGAGTCATCCAGGGAAGCGTATTAGGTCCACTTTTGTTTCTTATGTATATAAACGATATATGTAACACCATAGAATTTGGGAGACCATACTTATATGCTGATGATCTCAAAATAGTATACA